GCATCCTCCCTAGGCAGATCGCCCAAGTGTTGCTTTGCCATAACTTAACAAACAAGTTAGGGCTCTAAACAATAAGTGTTTTAATCTTTTACATTTTGAGTAAATGAAAATTTCACTAATTATATTTTGGAAATAATATCGAAATAGAATTAGTAACGTTATCATTAATTTATTAATCATAATTTATGTGGTAATAAACGTTTAGTGATAAGGTATAGGATTTGACTAGAAAATCTAATGAGATTTAAATGGATATCGTATTTTCTAGTCTAAATTAAGACTAGTATTTAAATTTGTAATGATAAAACTCTGATTTGGAAAATTTCATCATCACAGGTTAAAGTTGTAATTATTATGAAATTTAAAAACAACAACAACAACAATAATAATTCATACATTTAAGTAATAATAACACTTCTAAACGTATTCATATGTTTTCTGAAAAATATATTTTTGTGCAAGACAAATAGCTTTCCCTAAAAATTTTAATTGAATGGGACCATTTTAGAACTACAAGATTTATCTCACTTTTAAATTCAGTGACAGATATAACTGACTTAAATTTTTATTTGGGAAGTTTGAAAAATTTTGAATAAATAATAACGCATCAAGCGCATTTTAAAGAAGAGGAAGATGATGATATCTGATAAAGAATACGGTTTGATTAGAACATAAGCGATTCACTAAATTTTACCAATATTTTATGCTATGAAAACAATGAATGATACTAATAGCCTACTAGTTAATTTATAGTCAGATTATGCCAACTTCTTGATTTATAAAACAACAATCAATAGCGATTGAAGTATGTAATTTCTGTTTTCATTAATTTAAGCATGTAAAATTTCTGTGGATTAGTAATGAAAACATTCAAAACTCTAAATCGTACATTAATCTGCTCAAATCTTTTAAACTTTATGAATAGGAAAGATTGCGGATTTTAGATTTTGTGAAAGAACTTAAAGGCAAACATTCAGCTTGCATTTTGTCGAAATGATTTGTTATATGGTCCTTTTCGTATTTGGTGTTGTTTATTTAAATATTGTATATGAACTTTTCCTCTCATTTTGTTAAGTTTTTCTCGTGTTAAGCAAATGTTAAACAATTTACCTTTTATTAATTCAACTATGTAAGGTAATTAAACAGAAACTTTTGTCAAATTTCTTAAATGTATTTCATAGCTTAAATTTTATTAGTGAGATTGAATTAGTCTTATGATATTTTTGATCAGTCACTTTTAAAAAGTTTGATAGAAGGCTGAACAATGGAGATGGAGTTGACGAATTTAGCAATACTATTCTCACTAATCTTATACTTTCGAATTAATTACAATGCCGAGGTTATGAACAGAGACAAAATTCACTGAGTAGGTTTTAGAGAATAATTGTTTATCGTTTGCAACATTGAATAGAGGATACCACAAAGGAAGAAAGATTATTAGACAACTCAGTATTCTTGTAATGGTTTCTGATAAATAAATTTTCAAAATTTTATTTAATCGTCGGATTTCGATTTAACAGAATTAATTGATTTATGCATTAACTTAATAATACCAACTTTATATCAAATTAATAAATTAATCTAAATCTTTCTTCTACGTACTGGTTTGTATTCTATCTTTTCGTCAAATAAACGTGTGTATATATAGTATATATAGCATATTGTCTATGATTGTATTTTAAGGAAATTAATGAATTATGCACTGCAATAAGTTCGTAAGTAAAACTTATTTGATTTTGTGGATTTCCTCACATTCAGACTTCTAATAGAACCATACCTAAATAAAAACTTCTTGAAGATTGGTTAATTTTCTATTTTAAGTTAAAAATCGCGTAACTAAATTTTAATGAAATTTTCACTATTTTCTTTAACAATTTCATCGATATTAGAAAAAACAATGTTGAAATTTTATAAAAATAAAATTAACTCAAACCTTTCTCTTATGAGAAATATTAAATTTTGCCAACAAATATATATTTAGCATATAAATATTAATTTTCTTATCTTTTTAAAGTTTGCTAGTCTAAACCACGTTGCTGTCTAATGAAGTACTGTATTGATAACCTAATGTATTGTNAATCAAGTCATTTAAATTTTTAGTTCTATAGTACTGTATTTTGGAATTTTGATGTATGTGTCTGTCTTAGACAACATGTCAAATTGTTGAATTTAGCTAGTTACAAAATGTAATATAATTTTAAAAAACTTTAAAGTATATTATATTTTGGACAGTCATTAATTTCTTACCACTTCAGGCAAATATTTTCAAGTCACGCTTATTTTTTTAAATAGTGGAAATGTAAGTTTTTATGACTTATTTGAAATTAATACATGATCAAATAATTTTTGTTTTGTGGAATAATATGTTTCATTTTTAAGAAAAATTTATTTTTTAGGATTTACAAATGATATTTTCAAATTTTTTGAAGCAGATGGCAGAGTTTGATAAGGTTTTAACTCTATCTTCCCTATCGTAAATATGAATAATTTGCGATATTTGCGAGTCTTTAATAAGCATTTTATTCGAAGAACTTTTTAAAACTATTATTCACGACTATAAGAAATAAAATTGTGTTTAATGATAATTTTTGTGGGACATTTTTACATAAATAAATTTGTTACAATTAAAGTTTAAGGTATAAACTTTTAATGTTGATATATAGCCTATTTACTATCTTATATTTTGAGATAAAATTTGATATTTAACATTAACACAAAAATTTCTTTAAAATTTGATAAATAGGAAATTAATTCCAATTAATTTTCTGGATTATATGAATTTAATTATATTAAATTGGACGAATTTTTTTTTAGTATCGTTCAAATAACTTCGTTGAGAATTTGCATTTATTAGCTATATAAACTCAAATATTTTAAAATTTGTTTAAATTTCCGTTATTAATATTACTTTATTGCGTTTAATGTTCCTAAATATACTTCCTTTTGGCGTCGATTCGATTTATGCAAGGTATGGTATGCAAGAGAAAAATCTAGGAAATAAGGAATGGTTTAGTTTTACCAAAAATTCATTAATCTTCACTGCAGAATCAACTGCAAACTGCACATAACTCGTAATTTTACAGTTTTATTAACTTCCGAAAAAGTTTAACGTTTATTTCTTGTTCCATTGCTGTAAAACAATAACCGATTCGTTCAATACAAAACATAATGCGACATCATGAGCTTGAAGAATACTATGCACGTATATGCTTAGAAAGAATACTGTTGCTTTTATTTCTTTTGGATTGGCAATATTTTATTTCACTAGATCGTTCAGTTAATATATAATGCATCCAAAATCTCCAAATGTGGCCTAATTCCCCAAAGTGCTAGTTGCAATAGAATCAGTTTCTCTCTTAAACATCAGTTAAAGCAAGAGCTATTGCCAAGATTCAAATCATAACGTTCTTTATTCTAATTAGTTTACTGGAGAAATTTTTCTTTCTCTCAAATTTTAATTAGTGAATAATAATAGAAGAAAAGTTAATGCCAATTTTTTAAATTTTTTTTGTATAAAATGATATATAGTCCATTATTATTGTCGCAGAAAGCGTTTATATTTTTTCAATTTTTACATTGTTTTTATTCTTAGGAAATGATAGTGCGACGATATTAGAATGTTTTCCTTAATCAAAATATATTTTCATCAGTATTCCACGATACGACTGATCGTTAAGTGGCTACAAGAAATACCGAGTACATGAAGTCTTTTTAGTCGCTTATTGAAACAATCATACAGATCGAGATGTATTTGCTTTCGGCCTCTTTTGAGAGGAGATTCAAACTATTTTTTTTTTTTTTTTTTTTTTTGGGAGGGGTCGGCGGGATGGCTATGTGACAAGATGTTTGCTATCTCTGCGAAGTATCCGGTTTTTACAATTCGAGCAGTACTCTCGTGATTATTCATGAGCAATCATTTGCATCGGTATGACACAACATGCAAATTTTGCATTGAAAACAAGAAAAGTTAGGAGGAAATACAGTAATAAGATTTATTTGAATTTTCGCTTTGTCGAAGAATACCTTATATTATTGGTTGAAAAAACTTCCTTTTTTTAAGTGGTTGCTATTGTAGTTGTTTCATAAGGCAATTTCAGTAGTTTATAGTCCAAGAAGAAAATTTGAATTACCGCATTCATTTTACGATGGTGAAAATTTCTCTCTTTTTTTTAGAGGTAATGAATCTAAAAACGTAGGATTTTAAATTTTAAATTTCTAAAGCTCCAATTTCTGCATGTTTCTCGAAATTTTATCTGTTTAATATAATAAATCCTTTTTTTTAATATATAATTTAATGCGTCTATTATTGGTTATAACAAGTTGGGTATCAGCTACAGCGGCTATATCGCCCCGTGGAAAGTGAAAATTCAGTGGATAGTATTAGTAATTGGCTAGTACGCGCGGGAATAATACCTTCCGGGAGATCTTTTTAAGGGAAACTGGCCCCTATTTAGGCTTTACAGACGTGGAGAAAACCCGGAAAACTCCACGTGGCCAGCTCGTCCGAGCGAGGCGCTAACACACGACCGAATTCCCAGTGTTTAGGGACTGGGCCACGCAAAGTGCGGAGACGGAGTCCACTCTGCCACTGGTGGGATAATGTGACTATTTCATCCAGGATAACTATTTAATTACCATTTTTTTGCATTATTTGAAAGAAACTGGAACGTTATAAATATTAGATCTTGACTAATGTTTTCTTTGAAATTTTATTTCTAGTTCTATAGAAGAATTTCCTGAATTTTGAAATAAATGTAATCAGAGTTCATGAAATTTTTCTTCAAAAACTTCGAATGTTATTTTAAAATCTATCTATAAATTATCGAATTTTCAGTTTTCATCTTAATTAATTTGTTATATATAATACTATAAATTTTATGTTTTCTGATAAATTATAACATTATTACTTTATATAATTAGCTAAGTAATTTATAGATAATTGTCAATTTTTTACTGATACAACTGTTATAAATGTTATTTTCTTTTTTTCTTTTTTAAAGCTGAATCTTATGATTTGAAAGAAGCTTGAAATCATCGATCATGGTGATCGTCACGAGAGTAAGTAATTTTAATAACATATAATTAAGTTTAAATTGCATATTAGTGCCATTTTCATCATTTTAAAGAGAAAAATAGTAATAACTGTGTATTAGGTTTAATGGACACAATATATTTTGTAATTTTAAAAATGAAAAATGTGTTTATTATTTATTTATTCCTTGTGAATTGGAAAATCTTAATGTGTAGAAAAAATGCCCAGATTTAGTAACTGATCTATTTTCGCGAATACATGTATGATTTATGTCCCCTCGACAATAAAAATTCCTTATTTTCTTATTTATCTGTATATTATAATGATTACTTACCTGAAAGACAAGTTCACTAATTACTACCTTATCTGAATGCATAAGTATTTGAAGATACAGTATTTATTATAGAATAGTAGTTTCAACGTATTCGCTAATTTAAATATAACTTAGACAAGGCATATGGTAATTACACCTGCTTATTGTTATGTACTGCACAAGTTGTTTTTTTTCATATTTGAGCAAAGAATAGAACCGTATCGCGATACATTGTGATTTTTTTTATAACTGGATATTTATTTGCATGAAATGCATTTAATCATTAGTCAAATTGCGGTATATAGATATCAAGTTTTTTCTTTTATATTTTTAAATATACAATCTATTGTCTAGTACTTTTACAGTACAATCCCGTATTCAAGGTAATACGGCTGAAGGTATCTCGGATATGAAAAACTTGGATAACATGGAATGTTTAGCAAATTATTGAATAAACTGAATTTGATTTGTATTAACATATATAATGTACTACTGTACAATGTATTTTTTAGTTAGATTTATTGAACATAATGATTTTTAAATCATACAATAAAAACACTTTTAATTTACCGCTGTATTTATTAAAGCAAATGTAAAACTGTAATTACAATTACACTTCCTTTAATCCCATATTTTAGAGAAAAGACACTAGAATAAATTCTTAAAACTTTTGGAGCTCCTTTCGAGTTGCATTGCCTGATGAAGATTTGTGAAACGAAGATTTGTGAATTATATAATAATAATTTGATGGATTAAGAAGGATTGGGTCTTGTAAATAGTTTCGATTAACCGAGGCTCTGACTTTTCGAGATGAATTGTTGAATAAAACATAATACGGTATCTGTATTATTGTATTCTCTTATCTTCGTTGACAAAATACTCTTCCACAATTTACTTAGAATAATGCGGAGTTTCGGTTGCTCGGAACCATATTGAATTTTAAAAAAAATCCACTCTCGCCTTGCCAACGGGCTGGCATATGTTTTCTAGGTTTTCTTTGCATGTCTAATAACTAAATAGGAGCCAGTTTCCTATAATCTTCCATAAAAGATCGCCAAGGTGCATTTTTCCTTTGGCAGATCGCCCATGTGTTGCATTACCTTATAACTCCAATTCAATCTTTTATACTAAAAAGTTATCGTTATTAAGGGTAATCATAGAACATTCAGATTATTAAGTTATGAAGATGGACATGTTTTTGTTATTTCAGTTTTTCAAATTTTCAAGTTTGTCATCCACAAAAAACTATACTTTCCTGTCTGGAATCCACGAAGGGTAATTTTTTGTTGACAAAAACCTATCGTCAGATAAATTGCTCAAGATCGCATACTTGTTTCTTTGCTTTCTTGATGCAACAGCAGTGAAATATGCAATTTGTAAGGACATATAGTATAGTAAAATTGATCTAAAACGGAACCTAAATAACACAGAAGCTTGCCTAAACGAAAAAATTCTTCGGAACAGAGCGATTTTCTATGTTAAATCTTATTATATACCGAAAACGTAAACAATAAGGAAACGGAAGTTTTTGAGTACAAAGAACGTGATTTAACCTGGATAAAGTGGAAAATTAAGATTCTACTTGTAGACAAATGAGTAAAATCGCCTCCAGATGTAACGGTCATCGCAGAGCATAAACTATCAATACGTGTATATTCGAGAACGATTTCTAACCTGTCAGAGAGATGAAGGTCATATAATCACATGACATAAGAACACACGATCTTTGTTGGAATTAACCAGGGACAGAGTTGAATACTATATTTTTTAATTTCTCCGCCCCTGGGCACTGTCGTTTGGGTTCCGCCAGACCAAGTAAGGGTCGATTTACACACAACAGTGACGTGCCGGCACAGTGACCGTTTGGTGACAGCGACGTCGAGCACGGCACAGTGATGAGTATTTAGGGGCCGACCATAAATTACGTAAGGTATTTTGGGGTGGGTGGTTGTCAAGGACTCCTTACGATTTCTTACTCAGGGGTAGGGGGTAATAGATAGCTTCTTACGTAATATTCTTAGTTTCATTTTTTGATCTCGTTGAGTGGTGGAGTTTTGAATTTAGCTTCAATTTGTCGGTTTCTATTAACGCTAGCAGACTCACGCTCTACACATTTTTTATTATGGGAGAAAGGCCGTATGATGGTTTCTCTCTCTTCTCTCTTGTTTTGTTTTGTATGACGTTTCTGTTTACACGTGTACTAGCTAGTCGATCTGTCAAAATTTTTTGCATCCTTTTGTGAAAAGTAAAATTAATATAAAAGTGAATATTATGACGTTGATTAATGATAATAATAATGAAAAGATTGTTGGTAATTAAAAAATAAAGTTCTTAAAATAAATTGTTCATTCGAATTCATTAAATTTTTATATTTTTAAATTTGTTCACCGAAGTCTTTTATAAATAATAGTACATATTAATTAACTAATTACTGTAATAATTATATATTTCGTACCTAAGGCTTTTTGGGTTTTATAAAAAAACTTTTTTTTGTTAAAATCTTTCTAAAAAATCATGCCTAAATATTACGCAAGATAGGGAAGGGTAGGGGATCAAAGAAAATATTACGGTTTCTTACACAGGGGTTGGGTGGGGGGTCTAGAATGGCCGAAATCGCCCTTATGTAATTTATGGACGGCACCTTACACAAAACAGTGGCGTGACCATGCTGTCAGTGAGTGGTCATGGACTTTTCTGAGGATGAATTGGCTATGATAACTATATCTTTGGATGAACTCACTGAACTGTGCTGGCACGTCACTGTTCTGTGTAAATCGACCCTAATGAGGGACGGACCCGACATATCTGGAATGTACCATCCCCTGAAAAATTCTTGGGGTTGTTTGATCCGTCCGAATTAGTTCCCGAGTCCTCTAGAGCAGTAGGCTGACACCTTAAGGCTGTGTACACATTAGGCGTTTTTAAACGCGCGTTTTAAAGAACCAAGAGTTCTGCATAGGTATACATGCTCAAACGCGCGCTTCTGGCCAAGCGCGCGTCAAATGCGCGTTGATAGAGTTTTGTTAGAATGCGCGTTTCGCGGGCGTCAGCCGCGCGCTTTGAGATATATGTCTGCCATGTTGTTGTACATTCGATCGCGCGATTTCGGGTAGAGTGGACGCACAGTACGTTGGCCGAAATGGAGAACGATCATTTCGATACTGGTCTATTAATTGATGAAATCTAAAAGAGACCAGCCATCGTCAAATGATTTTATAGATATTCTAAAAGAATTAAAAAATTTGGGTTCATATTGTCTTAGTTTTGGATACAACGTCACAAACATTCCATGCGTCACTCTATCTCGTAATATTGGGTGCACCCAATATTCTCTTTGCCTCTGCCATCGTCTTTTATACCGACGATAGAGGAGGCACACACACAAGCAATTACTTTCATGTCCATTTCCAAATTGAGCCAGTGCTCACGCTCCACTAAACGGTCGTCGAACGCCGAGCTAACGCGCAGTGTGTACGCTGTTAACGCGCGTTTAACGCAACGCAAAACGCCTAATGTGTACACAGCCTAACCGCTCGACCATCCGGCCATCAAAATCAAATACTTTTAACAATTGAAAACTTTCAAGGATCGAATAAGTTTCTGAGAATTTAGTTCTCGAGAACAAATATTCTATTGTTTTCATGAATTATATTCGTTAACAGGCTGACAATGCTTCCAACTTGCTTTATATAGAGTAGTTCGTAACTACCGGTAACTGATGCCGAGTGTTCAAAAATAAGTTGATTAACATATTGATAATTACAGAAATTGAAATAAACGATTAATTAGACTATTAAAATCGATAAGACAGATATCAGAATAGCTTGCTTTCTGTATTACCGTAATGTGATTAGAATTTCGGACGGCAGAAAAAGGTACTACATAGTTTTTGGTATTGGAATTGGCAATCGAATTCTTACACTCGAATACTGTAAATATCGGTCATACACGTTAATAGCACAGTGTAGCAATTAAATATTAAATGTAATACAGTAATTGGCAATAAGTTGTGTGTTTATTCATATTTAACTTAAACTCGGGTTTGTGCCATTAGCACTCAAAAATCGAAAACTTTGTGGTGCGCTCGGTTCGTGATTATCATTCTAATCAGTGCCGGCCCGAGGCAAGTTTTAGGATGGAGCGAGATTCTATTATGGCGCCCCCTTGGTTGCCCCTAATTTATACCCTTTAATTTTCTTTACCACTGAGGCGCCCCCTAGGACTTAACGCCTGGAGCGGCTGCTCCGTTCGCCCTATGGTAGGGCCGGCTCTGATTCTAATCTTGAATTTATAGTAAAGTTCGAGTGAATCAATAAAAAATTAACAATAAAAATAAAATCGATTTTACACGAAGATTGCAATACATCTTTGATGTTATTTTTGATTCCTTTGATCGTAGTTGTCTTTCTGGTGTTTTTGTGAATGTTTGTGCTAATAAATTACCATAATTAAACATCATCTCTTTAAGAACTTTCTGGATCTGTCACTGAAACAAAGTCTCTCCAGAGATGTGGTTAAGTTCCTCTGTAGGGTTTCAAACTCTCCTACATTAGCTGGGAGACTTCTGGAATTTAGCAAAAATGTTTACATTCTCGGACTGTTCCTAAATTGAGGCCTGTTATTACCGCATTTACTCGATATGATAATCAACTTGGGGCTGTATATTAATCTCTACCTCATAAACAGAAACATAATTGGAAACATCTGTTTGAG